GCATTTGGGGAGTGAACCAGCGGATGGAAGACCTTTCTCTCTGTTTCTCCTTCTCATTGTCTGTAACTCTACCTCTCAAGTAAATAAATAAAATCTTCGAGAGAGAGAGAGAGAGAGAGAGAGAGAAAGGGTGGGGAGGGAGGGAGAGGAAGAAAGAAAGAATGTTGATAATGCCAACAGCTAGGAAGGATGCAGAAAAATTGGGTCTTGAAACACTGCTGGTGGCAATGTAGAATGGAAAACATTTTGATGCATTCTTTCTTTTTGAAAAAAATTCTTATTTATTTATTTGAGAGGAAGAGTTACAGTCAGAAAAAGGGAGAGACAGAGAGAGAGAGAGAGATCTTCCATTTGCTGGTTCACTCCCCAAATGGCCACAACTGCAGGAGCTAAGCTGATCCGGGTCTCTTGTACCTTACAGGAGGCCATAACAGAGAGCCAGATAGAAAGAGGAGCAGCCAGGACATAAACCAATGCCCATATGCAATGCTGGCCCCACAAGCGGAGGTTTACCCCATTACACCACAACACCAGCCTGATGCTTTCTTCTAAAAGCAAACAGTCAACTACATATAAAATAACAACTGCGGGGCTGGCACTGTGGTATAGTGGGTAAAGCCACCACCTGCAGTGCCAGCATCCTATATGGGCACCAGTTGGAGTCCTGCTGCTCTACTTCCATTCCAGCTCTCTTCTATGGCCTGGGAAAGCAGCAGCAGATGACCCAAGTCCTTGGGACCCTGTACCTGCCTGGGCAACCTGGAAGAAGTTCCTGACTCCTGGCTTCAGATCAGCCCAGCTCTGGCCATTTGGGGAGTGAACTAGCAAAGGAAAGACATTCTCTCTCTCTCTCTCTCTCTCTCTCTCTCTCTCCCTCTTCTTCTCCCTCTCCCTCTCCCTCTCCCTCTCCCTCCTTCCCTCTCTCTGCCTCTGCCTCTCTATAACTCTGCCTTCCAAATAAATAAATAAATGTTTATAATAAAATAAAATAACAACTGTATTATTCAACTTTATTCCAGAGAAATTAAGACTTAGGTTCACAAAAAAGAAACTATACATGAATATTTATGCCAGTTTAATTCATAATGGCTCCAAACTGAAAACAGAGATATTCTTCACCGGGTGAATGGTTGAGCAAACTGTGTGCATCTGTTAGAGAACACCCACAAAATGGATGGAGGAATTGCCATGGACACCAAAACTGGGTCCACTCGCCTGATGCACACCAAGCCAGTTACTGACATGGGGTGTCAGAAGAAAGTTTATTTGCAATGCACACAGTAAGGAGTCAGGCAATTATCACTCAATTCCTGGACTCCCCAAGAGATGAAGGGTGGTAAACTTTATAGATTAAATTAGGGGTTGAGCAGTGTGTGACCAGCTCATGTGTTAGTCCATCAGCCTTTGGTTAGTCCACAGTGCTTGTGATCTTCCTTGGATTGGTCAGCAACAGGAAACTGGCATGATCTTCTCAAGATGCTGTGATGGCAAAGTAGGCTCCCGCCCATCTGGGATCTACAGGTAGACTGGCTATTACTTTGTTTAGTCAGAGCTTGAAGTTCCTGCAAAACACCTCAAAATAGAGCCTAGTGGTAGGATGTTAGCCACAGAGATGATAATTGAATTTGAGTCTTGCAATCCAGAGACCTGAGGGGCTAGCTTGACCTTTGTACCACTTCCTTAATTTAGTGAGTGAATCTTTAACAAGGAACTCACTTGTAATCACCACAGGGAAGACAAAGGAAGAAACTTCAAGCTAAGGAGAAAGATCAAGGCCTGACAAATTCTACATCAAAGGCATAGGGCTGGGGGCTTGGTTTCATATTAGTACCACAGAATACTACTCAACAAACACCACTCAGGAACAAACTATTGATACACACAACTTGGATGAATCAGCAAGGAACTATGCTGAGTATGTTTATATGTGATGGAAGCCAATTTCAAAAGGTTACATACTGGCTGGCTCCACGGCTCACTAGGCTAATCCTCCGCCTACGGCGCAGGCACACCGGGTTCTAGTCCCGGTCGGAGCGCCGAATTCTGTCCCGGTTGCTCCTCTTCCAGTCCAGCTCTCTGCTGTGGCCCGGGAAGGCAGTGGAGGATGGCCCGAGTGCTTGGGCCCTGCACCCGCATGGGAGACCAGGAGGAAGCACCTGGCTCCTGGCTTTGGATCGGTGCAATGCAGGCCTTAGCATCCATTTAGGGGGTGAACCAACGGAAGGAAGACTTTCTCTCTGTCTCTCTCTCACTAACTCTGCCTGTCCAAAAAAAAAAAAAAAAAAGAAAGAAAGAAAAGGAAAGAAAAGAAAGAAAAGGTTACATACTATATGATTCTATTTACATAGTATCATTGATTAAAATAACAGCATTTAAAATAATGGGGGAAGAGATGAATGGTTGCCAGGTATAAGGAACAGAGAGGGTGGAAGGGCAGGATGTGGGGCTAGTGCCATGGTACAGCAGGTTAATGCCCTGGCCTGCAGTGCCGGCATCTCATATGGGCGCCGGTTCAAGACCTGGCTGCTCTACTTCCAATCCAGCTCTCTGCTATGGCCTGAGAAAGCAGCAGAAGATGGCCAAGTCCTTGGGCTCCTGCACCCACGTGGGAGACCAGGATGAAGCTCCTAGCTCCTGGCTTCGGATCAGCATAGTTCTGGCCATTGCGGCCCATTGAGGAGTGACCATTGGATGGAAGACCCCTCTCTTTCTCTCTCTCTCTCTCTCTCTCTGCCTCTCCCCTCTCTTTGTAACTCTGATTTTCAAATAAATCTTTAAAAAAAAAAGAAAAACATGAGGTATCCTGTGATTATCAAAATGTTCTGTGTCTTGACAGAAATGCTAATACCCTAGTTGTGATCTTGTACTACAGTTTTACTAAATGTTGCCATTGGGAAAATCTGCGTGAGGCACACATAGAATCAATGTCTCTATTATTTCTTATAACTACATATGAATTCACAATTATCTCGAAATATAAAATTTATCTTAAAAAATCCAAGCAGGCTTTTAGTAGAAATTGATTTATCTATAGATTCAACACAATCCTAATCAAAATCCAACCAAGTTGTCTTTTGAGGATATCCACAAATTGAAGTTAAATATCTGTTAGAAATTATAAAGCTTAAGGGATGTTTCACACAGGAGCAGTTCCTTTAACTTCTGATTAGAAGTTCAAAAATAAATTATTTAATTCATATTAGTTTTTCTGTTTATATAACTACTTGGCATTAGCCTATTTAATTTCAATTTGCAAAACTATAGCTGTTTAAAATGCGAGAGATCCTTTTAACAATCCAAGTAAATCCAGTTACTGTTTCTGCTCTTGGGTCAATCAAGTTGTCTATTGCTAAGTTTCAATATGCATAAATCAGACCACCAAAATCATCTGGCAAATAGTCCATAAAATGCTATTTTGTAACATCTTGTTTTCATGTACTTATCACAAAAAGGTTTGCTGCCACAATAAACAAAGGTATCAATAATCACAACCACAACAAAAATTAGTTTTTAAAAGGAACTCCTGACTCCTGGCTTTGGCCTGGCCCTGCCCCAGAAGTTGTAGCCATTTGGAGAGTGAACCAGCAGATGAAAGTGCACGCTCTCTTGCTCTCTCTCTCTTCCTCTCTCTGTGTAACTCTGCCTTTCAAGCAAATAATAAATCTTAAGAAAAACAAAAGAACTCTAATAAAATTGAAGTCACAACACAAGTGCAAAGAGATGGCCTTTTATTAGATCAATAATAGGAAAAGGTAACTTTGTCAAAAGACTGAGCTCAGCGTTCCCTCTATCAATTTATCTCCATTGCTATTTCCTGAGCACATCATGGCTTCCATCTCCCACTGAGTAAAAGATCAGTAAATATAAGGAAGTTTCTGGAAAATGAAGTCTAGTAAGCTATATCCCATGGCTAGAAGAAAAACAAAGAATATAAATAGAATCTGGCAGGAAAGGGGTGGTACCACACTAAACGGGCATGATCACAAGTTTAACTTAACTAAATTATGACTGACTCATTTAATACATAAACTGTCTGAAACCTTCCAGCACACATAGTTTTACCATGAATTAGTTGGAATCTGACATATTAGTCTAGAAAGTTTGTTCATCTCTAAAACTTATAGTCTGGCACAATATAATGATTAAACTAAAAGGAGGTTATCCTTTTAGTACCCTTTAATCTTTTTCTGACCTAGACTCACAGTTTAACCTACAATCTGCCACTCCATTTATCCATATTTATAGAATACACACACCCTTGTTACATGAAGTAGTAATGCCTTTATTATGTGTAATGTGCTGTTTTCTTCTCTATCATTTTTATTTTGCTATAAATTAAAAAGAAAAAGACAGCCTCAGCCCACTACACTGATTTCACATTCTACTAAGGAGTGCTACCCAAATGTAAATGGAGTAAAATGTTAACATTTGAGGGATCCTGATGAAGGGTATCTAGGAATTCTCTGTACTATTGTAGCACTTTTTTATAAATCTAAAATTACCAGAATAAAAACATAAATTTAAGAATCCATCCGATTCATCCTATTAGCAAATTAGATAGTAGGAGCAGTTTCCGGGTCTCACGTATCTTTATTTTCCTAATTTTCTCTCCCCTTTCCTTACTATCACACAATTTTTGCCTAACATACTAGCAATACACACATGATGAATAAAAAACTGGAGTACAGGCTAGAGATGACTTCATAAAGTAAGTGGATCATTAGCTGGATCCCTCACAGCAGCAGATCACGGTTGGTGCAGCAGGAAGAACACACGGCACAGGGAGATAGATTAAAATTAACATTGGATTTCATGCATATAAAATGACTTTAATCCATTTATTAATGAAGTCTTCAAAACCAAGTGGAGAGTCACAAAAATGAAAGGCAATACATGGTAAATAAAACCTGTGAGTACATTTATATAAACTTACTGAATGTCAGGAATAACGTCCATTCCTTCTTCCCTGAAAAAACTGTTAGGAGAAGTAAAAACTATACCTCAAAATTCTGTTCCATTATGTTTCCACCTTTACTCAAACTCTCCATGATGGCCTTATTTCGAAGAATATCCTCTTCACTGAGATGTTCTCTTCTTTTCCTTGATTCTAAAACAAGTCCATTCACCAGGTAAAAGTCTGCCAAAAATTTTCCCACTCTTTCCTAAAACAAAATCAAATTTTTCAAAATAATAAAATTTAAAGTAAATTTGCCTTAGATTAAAAAAAATGCTTCAAGTTAATATATTTCAATAAACATGAAGGTGATAAATATGCAAATTAACAAACTATCTTATATATTCTGTTAAGGTAAAACTTCATAAAATTATGCATTTTGAATTACTAAAGGAAAATGTACAACACACGAAAACGTATGGCAGTCAAGTCCAAATAAAAATGCCATGAAATATTCCTTTAGATCTACTCCCAAGTAGCACAAAGCTATCTGAAAATTTTATTAAACCAACAGATAAATATCATGAGTAACAAGGAGGGGTCAGGGATAACACTGTTCCCATTTTATAGATAGAAAAAAGTGGAATAAAAGGAAATACATAGTCTAAGACACGAAGAATCTCTAGTACAACTACAATTAATGACCTGTTATAATCCTCTATTCTCTAACAGGACCAAATTCCAAGTTACAGCTGATTGCTGCTTTCAGTGAAGCAGAAAGAATAACAGAGTAGCCTTGCTCACCAATACAATTAAGTGTTAAATCATGGGTTGGAGATGGGAAACCCTAGTGGCATAAGGACAGCAGAAAAACAGTTACTCCTTTCAATGAAGTTACATTAACCTTCACTTTTGTCAGACCAATAGGTGGTCATAGCTGAAAATACTTTGCTTCAATAAATAAATAAAACCTAAATTATTAAAAACAAGCTTCCCATTTCTACCTGCATGCAAATCACTGGTCGACCTTACTACTGTTTTCTAGCATTCCAAAAGTACGTGTTCAGGTTATTGCCAGGTCTACCTTATTTCAGGCAGCCTCCTTTCCAATCACCAGAAAGTGAAACATTCTATACTGGTGGTTTCTACCTACAAAATGGGAACCATAAGCATTACTGACTCCCTCCTTACCTGTCAAAGATTTAAGAAGATCACCTAGACGCTGTTCAAGAGCTTTGAGCTGCTTAGCAGTAGCACTAGATGAATAAGCAGTTTCAATTTTTATCTTCTCTTGAAGTGATCCGTCTAATGCTGTCCAGAAGAATAGAGTACAAACAATTAAGACTTCAAAGTCAACAAATGGGTTACGAGGTAGGATCTCACAACCTGGAATCCTATAATGCCATTTGTTGCCAATACACTTACAGAAAAAAATTGATCAGTCTAGATCTTTTTTTTTTTTTTGACAGGCAGAGTGGACAGTGAGAGAGAGAGAGACAGAGAGAAAGGTCTTCCTTTTCTGTTGGGTCACCCTCCAATAGCCGCTGTGGCTGGCACACTGCGGCCGGCGCACGGCACTGATCCGAAGCCAGGAGCCAAGTGCTTCTCCTGGTCTCCCATGCGGGTGCAGGGCCCAAGGACTTGGGTCATCCTCCACTGCACTCCTGGGCCACAGCAGAGAGCTGGCCTGGAAGAGGGGCAACCGGGACAGAATCCGGTGTCCTGACTGGGACTAGAACCCGGTGTACTGGTGCCGCAGGTGAAGGATTAGCCTGTTGAGCCGCAGTGCTGGCCTCAGTCTAGATCTTATAGTCACAGATTATCTGTGGCTGAGAAATATTCATATGGTAATTATCAGCTTTTGAAATTACAATCAGAAAGCATTTATTAAATGTAAATTATTTATTATCACATTTTAAAGGCTAAAAAATATAAATTATCATAGCAATTAAAAAATTTAAGTTTATTCCCCATAATTCAACCATTCCATCTTTTGCTACTTATAATAGACAATGCAAAAAGATGTAAAAGGATGGTAAATACAATAACATTTATAATTCCACAAAAATGGATACAAATGTGTCCATTCATCTAAATATCCAAAAATAAGAATGGGTTATTAAGTTTCAGTATATTCATAGTATGGTTATACTATGCAGTTGCTAAGAAGAATGAAGAAGCACTGTAAATACTGGTAAGAAAAGGTTTCTAAGACACACTAAAGACTGAAAAACCCAACTTACAAAATAATAGATAAAATATGACACTCTATATAAAGCAAACATCAGTAACAAAAAGCTATTTATTACTATGGGCATATGTATTTATGTTATGACAGTTAAAAAAGGTCTGAAGGACATACAATATGTCTGAAGGACACAGTTAAGCAGACAGGGCTCTGGGATTGTGGGTAGTGGTCAAGTGGGACTTTTAGCTTTATGTATAAAGTTGTATGATGCTTACTTATATGTCAGCTTGGGTAGGCTGTGGTAACAGATAGTTGGTCATGATGTTGCTGTGCAGGTATTTTTCTAATGAGATTAATGATCATCAGTAGACTGAATAAAGCATGTACTACCCACCATAACATAGGTGGACCTCATCCAATCAGTCAAAGACCTTTGGAACAAAGACTAACATTTTCAGAAGAAATTGCAATTTATGCATCTACCATGCAACATAGAAACCCTGCCTCAGTTTCTGGCCTGCATACTTCTGACTCAAGACTACAATATCAGCTCTTCAGTTAATTTGAATCCTGCTGCACTGATCTACAGATATCAGACTTGCCAGTTCCTACAATCTTATGAGCCAGTTCTTTAAAAGAAATCCATTTCTCCCTCCCTATCTTCTTTCTCCTTCTCCTTCACCCTTGCCTTCTCCCTCGATGCAGTAAATCTTTTTTTTTTTCTTTAAGATTTAATTATTTACTTGAGAGGCACAGTTACAGACAGAGAGAGGAAGAGAAAGAGAGAAAGGTCTTCCATCTGCTGGTTCACTTCCTAAATGGCCATAATGGCTGGAGCTGGGCCAATCTAAAGCCAGGAGCTTCTTCTGGGTCTCCCATACAGGTGCAAGGGCACAAGGACTTGGGCCATCTTCTACTGTTTTACCAGACCATCAGCAGGGAGCTGGATTTGAAGTGGAACAGCTGGGATTTGAACTGGCACCCATATAGGATGCCAGCACCACAGGAAGATGTTTGACCTACTACGCCACAGCGCTGGCCCAAACACAGTAAATCTTGATGTGGTTACTCATTCTTGAATTTAAGTTTTATAAAAATGTTACTTCATACACCTCTTCAACATTTTCTGACTATATTTAATAGACAACTTCCTGCTGACAGATGCAATGGGAATTATGGAAAGAATTCATACATGGCAGTGTTGTACAAATGTAAGCTTATTTGATTTAAGTAATATTGATAGAATACTGAGAAACAGGTAGAGTATGTAAATTATTAAGAGATGTTAAAGTGGGTAAAAAAAAAAAAGACCCAGCAAAACAAATTCAACTGTAACACTCTATGTGGCCTTCTAATGGAATGAAGCATTAGAAATAGAATGCAATCCAGTGGAAATATTATTTCCTGAGTAATAATAAGGGAACTTACAACAGGAATACTTCCCAGCATGGAATTCAAATAAGCTAAACTTTGATCTCTTGGCTCTTCCAAGATATATTTTGACTTTGTAACCAACCATTGTAATTACCTATCTGGGTTCAAGGTAATGAAAATAAACTACTTGAAGACAATTCAGTAAGCTACTTCTTCCTGCATTTCTATCACATTACTTAGTAATATTATCACATTACCTAAGTAATATTAATTTTAAAAGTTTAAATATCTAGATTTACACATACTGTTTTATCTTCCCGAAAAAGCCATCCAGTTTGGGCACGCGTGAAAGAAATTGATTTGGTTGATAAAGTTGCAGAGTAAATATCGCTGCTCATTAAAATGTCAACCTCTTCTTCTGTTTCCATTTCTGATTCCTGGAATAAAGGCCAAAGATAAATATAAAAATCTAAGTTTTTTTTTCAAAAGTTACTAATGTTGCATATAAAAATATCAACAATTAAAAATATACATTTCAGAAGACAAAAAGGACAGTTTCTAAATAGTTCTACTTATTCTGAAAAAACAATTAGATGTGTAAGTCTCAACTATCTTATATCTTCTCTAATAAGTTATAATGTCTAATTATCAGTTTTTAGGAGCAAGGCACACAAAGCATAGTACTCTAATACTGTTAGAAATATGTAATGGACATAGAACTAGATTACTCATAAAGTCTAGAACTAAAACAATAAAGTCTATAAAACAAATTTTTAAAATTATTTATGAATTAAGTTGACAGACTGAGAACAAAATGCACATAATGTGCTTTGCTTTTAAATCTTACTTTAGTTTTTTTTTTTTAAGATTTTTTTATCTGAAAGGCAGAGTTACAGAGAGGCAGAGGGAGGGAGGGAGCAAAGGAGAGAGAGAGAGAGAGAGAGAGAGAATCTTTCATCCACTGGTTCATTCCCCAAAAGGCCACAATGGCTGGAGCTGGGCCCATCCAAAGCCAGGAGCCAGCAGCTTCCTCTGGGTCTCCCATGTGGGTACAGGGGCCCAAGGGCTTGGGCCATCTTCTTCTACTGCTTTCCCAGGCCATAGCAGAGACCTGGATTAGAAGTGGAGCAGACAGGACTCGAACCAGTGTCCATATGGGATGCCGGCACTGAAGGCAGCAGCTTTACCTGCTATGTCACAGCACTGGCCCATAGTTCTTTTTAATCTCAAAACCCATTACTATCATTTGAGCCTTTCATTCTGATACATTCTAAGTGAAAGGAAGGAAGAAAGAGTGAGATGAAGAGAAGAATAGCAGATTGCAAGAGGTATTTTTTATATTCCTTATAGAAAGTAAAAGAACCTACAAATATCAATCCTCAATCTAAACTATATAAACAAACTAAATAAATGGAAACTAAACATAATAAGCAGAGCTTCAAGTTTTATCCTTCACGTATTCTTTAGTACTGGTATATAACATTTGATCAATAACCTTTTAAATGAGAAAAAAAGGAAAGATTTGTGCTTGCTTCAGGGACAAAAGGAATGGTGATTGGTATAGGAGAGTAAGTGACCAGATATATAGTTGAGGTTCTAGTCCATAACAGGCCAAGATATTCTAATTACTATACCCATAAGATATTCTAATTACTATGTAGACTCCCTTAACAGAGAAAAAAGGCAAAAACTAGTGAGTTTTCTGGGGAATGAGAACTGTTCTCAGGGTTTACAATGGCTAAAAGTGCTATTCCCCATACCTCTTTATACACAACAGGCCCATTTGCTTTTCTTTACCACTTAACTTTCACTTAGATACTGTCCTCTTCTGAATCACTGCATCTATAGAAAACAATAAAATCTCTAAAAAAAAAAGGGGGGGGGACGGTGTTGAAGCACAGCGGGGTTAACGCCCTGGCCTGAAGCACCGGCATCCCATATAAGCACCAATTCAAGACCTGGCTGCTCCACTTCCAATCCAGCTCTCTGCTATGGTCTGAGAAAGCAGTAAAAGATGGCCCAAGTCCTTGGGCCCCTGCACCCGCGTGAGAGACCTGGAAGAAGCGCCATTGCGGCCAACTGGGGAGTGAAACATTGGATGGAAGATCTTTCTCTCTGCCTCTCCTCTCTCTCTCTGTATAACTCTGACTTTCAAGTAAATAAATAAATCTTAAAAAAAAAAAGAAAACAATAGCAATAACTTGGGACAAGGCTGGAATCATTCCTTCCACCTTCACAAATGAGGGATGAAAAATCTTGACATCATTTCGAAGGCTAGAATAGGTGAAAATGTATTCCAGACATAATTTCCTTAAATAAAAATATCTAGTTGGTTTGAAAAGAATTATTAAATACTATACTTCAAATGTATTATGAGTCAAGAAGAATTTTATATATTAGCTTAGTAGCTGAACTCCCTATCTCATGTTGTCTATAAAGAAATTTGCTTTACATTTCTTTCTTTCGAGTGTTTTTTATTGCTATCATATGATACAGCAGAGTGGACAGTGAGAGAGAGAGACAGAGAGAAAGGTCTTCCTTTGCGTTGGTTCACCCCTCAATGTCACTGTGACCGGCGCGCTGCGCTGAGCACGTGGCTGATCATGCAAGAGCAGTACTTATCCTGGTCTCCCATGGGTGCAGGGCCCAAGTACTTGGGCCATCCTCCACTGCACTCCCTGGCCACAGCAGAGAGCTGGCCTGGAAAAGGGGCAACCGGGACAGAATCCGGCGCCCCGACCGGGACTAGAACCCGGTGTGCCGGTGCCACAAGGCAGAGAATTAGCCTGGTAAGCCGTGGTGCCAGTCTGCTTTACATTTCAAATACTCTATTTTAGTGGCATTAGAAATGCTACTTGGGACACTCACATCCCAGATTGGAGTGCCTGGGTTCAAGCCTCTACTTGCGGCTCAGCTTCCTGCTACGCACACCTTAGGAGGCATCAGGTGATTACTTAAATACTTGAGTCCCTGTCACCCATATGACAGATCCTTGAGTTCTGCACTACTGTCTTGGCCCCAGATGTTGCAGGTATTTGCAGAGAAAACCAGTGGATGGAAGATATTCTCTCTCTCTCTGTTATGCTTTTCAAAAAATAAAAGTAAATAAATAAACTTTCTAAACAACAGCATAGTAATTACATATAATCTACACACATATACTTTATATAATCTACATCCATATACTTTAATCTCTAGATTATAGTATCCAATACAATAGGTAAATGTTATGTACACAGTTGTTACACTGTACTGTTTACCAAAAATCACAAGAAAAAAATTGGTACATGTTCAGTGGAGACAAAATTTTGGGGGGAATACTTTCAATATTCAACTGGCCCAATATAAGAATGAGAAACCACAGACACATAAGGCTGACATATTCTCTACTTTACCATCCTTTTGGTGATCTCATCAATACTGTTAATATCACTAATAGTATCACTAATAGACTATAAGCCTTAATCTCTGGTTTCTCTTTTAGCACTATATTTCCAGTACATCTGATGTTTGGTTGGTTTTCCTGTTGTCATTTAATGCACAAGAGGCTGAACTACTTAATAACATCTGAGAGTCTAGAACAGAGATCAGCAAGCCACAAGCAATAAGTCAAAGCTAGTTCACTGCCTGTTTTTATAAATAAAATGGTATCAGAATATAACCCTGTTCATTTACTTACATATTATCTATGTAAATGCAGTGTTAGGCAGCTGTGATGGAGATTTTATTGACTCACAAACATATCTAAATATCTAAAATATTTACTATCTCTTCCTTATAAAAAGGATTTGTCAATCTATAGTGTAGAATACACTGATGTTGTATTAGTACCAGAGAATGCAGCTAAAAGAACCTCACATCTCTGACACATAGTCCAACAGAAGGAGAAAGCCATAAAAAGAAATACAGCTTTAGAAGATGTATGACTCCAGATTTAGTTGGTGGGCCAAGAAAATAATGGTCGCCTGCTAAGGGAGGAATTAAAAGGAAGTGGGTGCCCTCAGGTGTCAGGGTACAAGAATTCTAAAAGGGCATTCTGGGAAGTAGAAACAACATGAAAAAAGGATATAAATAGCCTGGCACATCTGAAACCTCCAGAGTATGAGTATATCTAAAATAGCAAGGTAAGGAAAAGGCTGGCAAAGTTAGATAGGCTAGGTTATACAAGAACGATGCTGTAGCAAGGAGTTTGGATTTCACTATCTAAGCCAGGGGGAAATTTAAGGTGTCTTTAAATAAAAAAGCTCATAAATTTGTTTTTAAAGTTTAATATATCACCAATATATGGAATATCTTAAAAGCAGACAAGACATGAATCAAGAAGGTCCTTCATGAGATTTTACAAGAATCTAATGGAGAGAATGAATATCTACATTAGAGCAGCAACATGAATAAAAAAGGGAAATTATAGGACAGTGAGAAGGGGCTGGCACAGGGGCACAGTCGTCACCATCTGTGACGGCCAGCATCTGATGTAAGTGTCTGATCAGTCCTGGCTGCGCCACTTCCGATCCAGCTCTCTGCTAATGCACCTAGGAAAATAAGTGCAGATGTCCTAAGTACTTAGGTCTCTGCCACCCATGTGGGAGATCCAGATGAAGCTCCTGGCTTCTGGCTTTAGAATGGCCCAGCCCTCACCATTGTGGCCATTTGAGAACTGAACCAGTGGATTGAACATCTCTCTCTCTCCCTCTCTCTCTGCAACTTTGTCTTTTAAATAAATAAATCCATTAAAAAATAAGGGAAATATTTAACATTAACTCAAATTATTTTTTGATCAAGTGATTACCGTAAGAATCCATGAGGTTTCTCTATTCTCTTAGAGGTAGGAAACTGACTGTACAGAAGGACTCTAGGATGCACAATTTAATCTTTAGACCTTATAAAAGAGATGGCTAACATTTTTCTGTAATAGCATAGCCAAAATGAAAGCTTAAATTATAATTTCACAGCTAGATTTACTTCACCATGGGCACAGTAAACAGGCAAAACCTCCCTTTCAGACCAAACAGGGAAAGTTTTAAAGTGAGGACATAGCCTTCCACATGGGCATTGTCTGCCACTATCAGAACATAGCTGTGACTACAGACTTCTAGTTTAAGCCACAAAGATTAGAGATGGGACTTACGCACCCCCTTCATTTGCCTCCTCTGGTCTGCTTTAACAAAACCAGGAGGAAAAGAAAGCTAGGCATCAGAAGCAATGTAAAGATAGGTGGCAGGCCTATTAAGGGCTGCTCTGTACATGATCTGCCCTCAAAAAGACCCAACAAGCCAGTCCACTGCAGTGGCTTTTGATGTGGTAAGCCTGGGCTTCAGCAGAAGTTAGCTTATGAGGAGCCCTGGCAGCTCTGCCAGCCAAGAGTTGGATCACTGAAAATGGAATTGCCCTGGAGTCGAAGGACGCCCAGGTAAGAGCCACAGACCTTGCTGACTCT